ATACTCTAACTTGAAATGATCACTACACTTTTGGGTCGTCACTAATTTTAAAGCATGATTCGGAAAGCAATTCAAATCCAACCGTTGCAATTCTCCATTCATGAATACTCAGACGGTTTTGCTTTTGAATTTCAAAAATGTCCTTATGATGTGTACGAGCACTACGATACAAAACTGCAAATTTTATTTATGTCGAAACCGTCCGATGAAATTAGACCAAAAATATTTTCAGAGTGTTTCACCGATCTCAAAGTGATGTTCAATCTTGCTTCACTGAGTTATCACTGGGCTGTATCTTCGATGAAAAACGATGGAAAAACCCTTGAAGCTTGAAGCGCGATTCGTGAATATATCAATAACTTCATTTTCATTGTTACTTTCAGATGCTTTTCTCCAGAAATGTTGAAAGTAGGTATTTATGTATTCTATGGTGTCGAGTCAACTTTGTCGTTGACTTCGTTCTTCAAATGTCCCTCACACACAATTTGTTTCTGGTTTTCTTTTACACCCGAAATGAAATTACGAACTTCGTCAATGGGTTGAAATGAAACAGACGCGCGCAATAGATAGAATATGTTTACATAGAAGCTAAATAAATGTTTTCGGAATGCTCGATATTTGTCGGCGAAAACGAACACATTATTGAATTTTCATGCAAAATTCATTCGTGCGTCATCAACCCTTTATGAATTCTCATTAGTTTTTTCGCTGTTACAGCATCGAACCCTTTCATAACACTGTGTCCAGACAACTGATGTCATCAGTAGTTCGCAAAAACTGACAGTGTTTCAGGCAATGTTTGAAACGGCTGATGAGTTAAAGTAAAATTAATTCTTCGAAATCAAACTGGTATGATGAGGCTTGGCTGTTTGAAATTTTCGTTGGGTGATATTTTGATGACAACAAATGAAAAAACGTGAACTACAAAAGTGAAGTGAACCGACAATCGGAATAACATCAAATCTGTTAACAAATTTTCAACGCATGACGCAATGCGATCAATCTTAAGCAGCAAATTTAGAGGAATTCTGTCGTAAAATCACACAATTAAAATAGATGAACTGTTTAGCAATCCTTCTGTGCATTCCAGCGTCCACCGAGATGTTTCCATTATGCGCCATTTTCATTATTTATTACAACTATTATTACTCTAACTAATGTTATTACTATCGGTCAAGTGGATTAGCTTTATGGGTCAGGGACAACACTGACAATCAACAACGCCTTCAAATGAAAATCGATTTGCGATATTCTGAAACTCACTACAATCGCACTATTGGCACAAATATCACGCGAACAACTCACAAACTTCAAGCACAACAGATCTTCAAAAGAACAAATTCATTCATTCCGGGCAATGAATTGAACGAAAATTTAATTTCCGTTAGAATGAGTTGTTGCTGAAATATTTTGCGTATAGACGAATGTTTAGATATTCTCTTATTTTGCAAATCATTTAAAATGTGCTGACGAGAGACGGATAGAATCGGTCGGTTATGAACTGAAGTAGAAAATAAGCAAACGAATGCTCGCTCAGACATGCTCAAATGCAATTTGTTAAGTGAAAAACAAACTTAAAGGCTTTTTCTACGAAACGAATACGCATTGAATTTCATTTTACGAACTTAAAATTGCTCCGTTTACTTTAGTTTGTGTTATTAATAATATAGCACTGAATCAACAAATTCTCTATTTCCTATGAATAAAAAGTTGCGTTCAATTGCAGAATTTTCAGAATTCATTTACTTTATGAAAGTTTAGAATTTCGAAAGCAATTTTGCGATGTAAATCGCAAACGATTCAAGCAGTATTGGATGCAGGTAGCGCATTAAGCGCAAGCTAATGTTCTCCATTTTGTGCATTCGATAACAGATTATTGGGAAATGTTGGGGCATAATGCTGGATTAGATCGAGCACTTGTTCGCTCGATCAATCTCATCAAGTATCAAGACAAAAAACGATCGTGCTCTCTAATTTCATCAACATCCGTTGAGAATTCCAACAAACTGCCAATGATTATCNTATTGTGCATTGCAACTGCATCCGACCCCTAATAGCACGCTAATCAACACGCTGTTTCCATATGCATGCATGCCTTAACTCTTTCAAGTCTAGTTATTTTTAAAGATAATCCTTAAACAACACAACAAATATTACTCGAAGAAGTTTTATGCAAGATGGCTGTCAATGAATCAAAATTTTAAGTGACTGCTTTAGCTGAATCAACTTATTACGACTATGATTGCCTCAGTCTCAATTCTCACTCACTAATAAGTGATAAATCCGTCCCAATGGACAAGTTGCTCATCTTGGCCTTGCGGTATCCACAATGAATAAGACATAACAAAACATTCATCCAAATGAAGCCTATTCACACAGCGACAATTTCGAATTGATTTGGACTATATAGTGTTGATGTGTGCACAAAACTAAACAACTTCTCTGACACCACAACATTCACTCCGTACTGGTACTGTTAGCATTAAGCATTAATAACACAATTCGACTATCTGCACCTCTGCTATCAGCCTTATGAGACGTTGATTAACCAGGAGACATACATTAACCAAGAGATATGTGCACAGTCGCGATATGATGAAACAAACATTGAGAGCACTCCTTCTCAAAAACTGANTGAGCAGATGAATTGAAAAGCGTTTGTAATCAAGAACGCAATAGCACCTTACCTGGTCGTGTTCGGTGAGAGGTAGTCTCTTGTGGGAATTGGTTCGGTGCCTTGTTGTCGAATTTTTAATTGGTTCTTCTCTTTTGATGTGCTGCTAGTGCTGCTGCTATTGTTAATGGAGTTAATTGTTGGTTGTTGCACAAAATTCGTTGAACGACGTGGGGAGAGTTGATTATCGGAATCGGCACAAATACCAGAGTCTGTGTCGCTGTCAGCAGGCGCTACGACGAATTGAACGCCTAGAATTTATGCACACAGCAATTAGCACATTCTCAAGCTCTAGCATATTCGATTCTGAATCAATTCCACTCATACGCTACGTACTGCAGCATGCATGCATTGAATATATTCTCACAAATACACACATTTATATACAAATGCATTTTTTGAAGATGTTTCGAAAAACAAAACAAGTAAGCGATCACAAAAGAAACGACACACTGGTCATAATGAAGGATCACCAAGAACACTGTAACAAACAGGTCTACCTGATGATGCTCTAACGAGAGGATATTTCGGATTGTTGAGCGACTGGTGGCTATTCGGATAGTGCAGTGTGTAGTTCTTTGGTTTCGGTGGAGGAATAGGTGGTACCCTCGCATCCACTGCTAGTGACATTAGCTGCAATATTAGCCGAATTCACTGAGCGAACGAGCTGATCACATCAATATCACTTCGTGTTTCACTCGTCCACGTACATATGGCGTACCACACGAATCACGGTTATGTATCGCTCAGAGCTGAACACAGAAACAAATCCGCTACAAACACCTACAAGAATGTGCTTAAATCGAATCCCAAATACAAATCAAAGCATTCTATCGCGTAAACAATCAGCACAATTTAACGCTTCAGAATTCAATGACTTAGAAATTTTGAAACACCAACCTTATCGTTAATTAGCACTAATCTATGTATGCGTGGGCACACAATGAATAAACACAATGATAAAAACGAACATTCAATGCACTGAAGAGTTAATTGCTTTTAGAAGCTGTAGCTGTTGGCATGAACGGAAAACTAGAAAAATAATTGGCCTTGAGAATTGGAAATAATATAGAAGATTGAAGCCTTTTACCGATTAGGAAAATAACTCGACGAATTGATTAGTTCCGTGTTCGGAACATGTTTTCATGTTGCTAGTAATTGAATTGATGATCGAGAACAACATCAAAAACCACCTCATTTTTACTCAATCAAAAACAATTACATCTCATTTTGAATCCTTTTTCGTTCTCCTCATTCCGAGTGCTTTTGATCACTTTAATAAATCAAGTTATGCCGAATCTACCATATTCACGCATGCTTTCGATCAGATTTCCGCAAGTCTTCACCTACGCAGTTTAACATCGCAAGCAATTACAGCGAACGACGAACGCACGATTCGATCTTCTCATCACCTTATCCTCTTTTAGCTCGTTAATTTTCTAGCCGCCTTTCGACTCCGTATCGATTTTACTGACGGATTCATCAGGTGCACGGCAGAAAAACTCATAGTCCACTGCGCCGTTAAGCTNTAATATGTAATATGGTGGTGCCTGAATCAAGTTTATCAATGCTCTTAAAGGATAACTGATATTCGTTATGAGACGGAACATTATTTGTGACTGCAATTTTTAAAAGAATTATAGAAAGAAAGAATGAATTGAGTTCGTAGTGACTGAACGTGGGCAGAGTACAAATTGAAATAATTAAAATATTAAGGATAATGAATAAGGATTGTGATCAATTAAAACACGATAGAAAGATGTTTGAGAAGATAGAAAACATGTTGGTAGATGCTCGCTTAAGATGGCAATGAGAGGAGTATCCTATGCTGTCCTATCTCGTGTTGGTGATGCGTTTTCGGGATGAAAGGGTCGTTGCAGTGATATTCGACTAGAATTAGGCGATATATGTGTTAGGTTTGTAGATGTACATTCGAGCAGTGAAACAAACAATAATAGTGATGTGATTCGCATGAGTCCTATGAACAGAAATGGAATTAAAGCTGGATAAGTTGATAATCATATTGATAGTTCATGAGAGGCCGATTTGAATTGATAGAATGCAATCGAACGGAATGTTTACTTCTCACACTAATGAAAAACAAAACGAACGGAATCGTTTCGTTGATTAAAACAGCGAATATCTGACACAAAACAGCTACGCTCGTTTTCACTAGCTTCATCAAATGGAAACAATATGATTACGTATGTCACATAGAGGCTGCCCGCCTGCCTGCATCATCATCATCATCATAAAACAGTTCACCTGTTGAGCGTGAACGTGTGAATGCGACAATTTTCGATTTTAACTGAAAATTATTTTTTGACAAGCAAACAGACTTTAAAACATTTGACTTGCTTGAGTGAGTAAAATGTCTGCAAAATAAAAACGGATAGATCGATTTTTTGAATCGGTAAGCGAGAATACATTATAAACGAACGCAACGAACGCATACTAATGGAAAAACTTTTTGCTTAACAATTCTCAATTAAATTCTGTCTTCGAAATCGGAATTTTCTTCGGTCGATTTAAAGTCATCGTGTATGAAGTGCTCATGTATGCGCATTTAGAGTGTGGCTATGAAATGCGATCCTATGAAATACGTGTAAATGCTTAGAGTCTGCTGCTGCTTTTTAATATATATATCTCATAACTTGCATTTTCGCTTTTAACAAGTACTCGCTTTTAAGCACTCTACGATTGACTTTCAATAATGACCGAATCAAACCGAAAATGCTCGAAAAAAGTGCTCAATTGAGAACAACGTCCTTTGGGATTTCCCAAAGTGCTCGCGCTTTGTTTCACTCGAATGAATTTTCATCCGCGTAATGAATATTTACCGAAAATGAGTGCAAAGCATCCTAATAGGTATTCGAATGGCATGAATTTGAAAAAAAAGGGAATTGAATTCGAAGTCACAGAAATGTTATCAGAACGATGAGGCTGAATAGAGTCACATTCAAGCATTTATCTTCGTCAAGTCGCGGCGCAGTTTTGCGTTTGTTTTCAATTTCATTTACCGAACCCAAAAGACACTCATAATATGACATTTTGCTTGACACAAGTTGCACTCAGACAACCTGGTTAAAAATGCATTGACATATTCGTCCTTTTCGAAACAAATGAATATTCATTTCAATAGATCACTCGTAATAACAGTGCACATTTAATGCTTCCGTAATTATCATTCAAAGCAACTAAATAACCGCCATTTGAAGAATCAACCTCAAAATGAGTACAATTACGTTGCTGAGCAATTTTACCTATGTAATTCACCATAGAGCCGTTGGATTTTATAGCAAACAAATTAATATCGCAATGAATAACAAAATTTCAGCTAGATAAATCCATTTCAGGATGATATCGGAAACGTAAAATTGAATCATGCAATAATATTTCGTTTCTAGATGAACGGATCAACATAAGGTGATGATAGCAAGACGTCGAATAATTATTCAACGACGAATAATGAATGTAGAGTGGGTGCAAGTTGAAAATAGAGAGTAACATTCCAGCAGTAATTGACTCGTTCGAGAAGATCGATTAACAAGATACATAATAGTGAACGATGTGCAATGGACGGTGAATCTGAATGGAACACGAAGGGAAGTTTGCTGATGTGATTTGGACGGTGAGTGGTTATCAGTAAGGAATGAATGAAGGCTTTTGAGTGAACAAATATTTCGGATGATTCAAATGAATGTTCAGTGTTTGCATTAAAAACGCAACGAAACCATTGTATTATAAATCGGATATCTCCATAGATATTTTCAGCGGAAAAGCGCTCAATTATAGTCAAAGAAGCGAGCAAACATTGAGAAAGAAGCACAATGGAAGTGAACTTGAAACACTCATCTTTTTAAAGTTTCACTGCAAAAACATTACAAAGAGATTACACCGCTGCTGAAGTTCCGTATAATTGAAGAACCAGACGCAACTTTAACGCTTTCTATATTGAAAAAAAAAACTCTAACTGTAAGTAACGAATTAGGAACGAGTCGCTCATCAATCGTTCCGCATATAATCAGATTTCCTCATTTTCACAAGAAGAAATTCTTCGTCTCATCAGTAAATGATTTCACACTATTCACTATTTTTTAAATGGTCAGTACGAAATTTTCACCATATGACGATCGATGAAGATCACCCAAACTCAGGTATCATTCCATTTTGAAGTGAACTAATATGTGAAATGAACAACAATTCATTATTGTTTCGTAACGTGATGTTACTCGCATACAATCAAATGCGATGCATAAACACTTTATTTAATATC